TTTTCACTTCAAAAACCAGAATTTTGTACCTGACATAAACATTTCCATTGCATCAAAGACAACAAAATACCTAGAAATAAACTTAACCAAGGAGGTTACCTGTGACTATGAAAACTGTTAAAACATTGATGAAGAAAACTGAAGATGATACAAAGAATGGAAAGATATTTTGTGCTCCTGGATTGGAAGAATCAACATCATCAAAATGGCCGTACTGCCCAAAGCAATCTACAGATCCAATGCAACCCCTGCCAAAATACTCATGACATTTTTCACAGAACCAGAACAAACAATTCCAAAATGTATATGGAACCATAAAAGACCCCGAACTGCCAAAGTAATCTTTTGTAGGTCTTTTTTTTTCTCTTTCTTCTTTTTGTTTAAAACCATATCTTGAACATAATGTTTCAGTCAAGTAAGATGAATAAGCTCTAGAGATGAATAAGCTGTAAAACACTGCACCTCTAGTCAACAGTCATGTATTACACACTCAGAATTTAGTTAACAGGGTAGAGCTCATGTCACATGTTCTTACCACATAAAAAATATATTTAAACATATCTATGCACCTTTTAAAATTATCTCTTGTACTGTCAGTGGTATTCATACTTTCAAGCCTAGGGAATAGTGTGTGCCATTCTCCTTAGAGCAATTAGATGAGCAAGATACCAATGTCGTCAGCTCAAGGGCCACAACAGACCCAAGCTGATTCAAGACATTAAAAAGCCTGAATAATTTCATAATCATTAAAGAAGTCAAATCTCATAGTTTAAACTTTTTCACAAGAAAAACATCAAATCTAGATCATTTTACAGGCAAATTCTAACAACTCTGAAGGAACACACTCTTCCAATCTTATTAGAATTCTCTGAGAAAATAATTCTCTAATTCATTCTGTGAGACTAGTATAATCTTGATATCAAAGTGAGCAAGGACTATAAAAACAAAGGAAAATTATAGTCCAACGTCATTCATGAACAAAGATGAAAAATCCCAAAGTATTAACGAAAGAACTAAGCAATGTATAAATGTTGATATGTGCAATGTTTTTAAAAGCACTTGGTTTGGGAGATTAAATACAAAGGAAGCCTAGCATCTTGCAGCAGGCAAATTTATACTGGAACATTCTGTGTGGATTTGAAAAGGCAAGGAGCACAGGGTGATCAAAAACACTACGAACACATTAGGAATAGCAGATACAAACTACTATATGCAAAATAGATAAACAACAAGGTCCTACTGTATAGCACAGGGAACTACATTCAATATCTTGTAATCTATAATGAAAAAGAATGTGTGTATATATATATATATGTATAACTGAATCACTATGCTGTACACCAGAAATAACACATAAATCAACAATACTTCAAAAAAAACCCCACTATCAATACAAATACATACGAAATAGAAAGCTTTCTCATTTTTTCGGGTTTCTGATTTTAGGAAATGGTTCATGGGCAGAGGATGATACTGACCTATCTCTGTTTTGAAGTTGAGAGGAAGAGATAAAGCTTTCAGATGGAAAGCTGATAGCATAACAAATCCAACGTAAGGTTACTGAACTCTCAGGGGGCCCCCTCCAGGCTCTTTTACCAAACTGCCATGTTTAGAGACATAGAGCAGCCACCTCTAAGATCCCAGCTTTATGTGTAAATGTACCCTCTGAATTTGTAATATAGGTGGGTAGAAACTTCCATGTACTGACTACTTCAAGCCTCAAGGATCACGATAAGGGTCTTGGCCGTGAAGAGTGGTTTGTTTTATCAGCATACCTTCTCTGCACATCTTTCCCCTAATTAGGAATTGTGTGTATGTAGCAGGTACATATCCCTGAAGGGAGAAGCATTACTCACTGTGCACGAAATATTCTCTCAAATTCCGGTGACCCAGAGACTGCCGGGGGTATAACTTTGTATTTTGATCTTGCCTTTCCTACCTGCAAAGCAAAATAACCTGCAAGTAAAGAGGAATGAACATTAAAAATATGGCCCATCATTATTCATTAGTAAAATGCAAATTTAAACCACAGCTAGATAACACTACATACCTATTGAAATGTCTAAATTTGGTCGGGGAGGATTAGGTTTTTTTACTTTATTATTTTAATGGAGGTACTGGAGATTGAATCCAGGACCTTGCGCATGCTAAGCGCGCACTCTACCACGGAGCTATACCCTCCCCCTAAAATGTTTAAATTTAAAAAGACATCACACCAACTGAAAAAGGTGAGGATACAAGAACAACTGGAGTTCTCATGCTCTACTGGTGGGAATGTAAAACAGTACAAACACTTTGGAAAACCATTTGGGAGGAATCTGTTAGTTAGACATACACTGACTATATGATTCAGTCATTCCACAACTAGATATTTTCCTAAGAGAAATGAAATCATATGCCTATACAAATACTTGCACACAAATGTTCACAGCAGCTTTATCTGTAGTAGGCAAAAATTAGGAACAACTCTCTGATGGTTCATTTTATGTGTCAACTAGGCTAGCATTTGGTCAAACACCAGTCTAGATGTTGTGAAGGTATTTTTTAGATGTGATAAACATTTACATCAGCAGAGTCTGAGTAAAGCAGATTACCCTCCATGCTGTGGATGGGTCCCACCCACTCAGTTAAAGGCCTTAAAAAAGAGTCTAAGTTCCCCCAAAGAGAAAAGGATTTTACCTCCCTTTGGACCCAAGACTGTAGTATCGACTGTTGGAATTTCCAACTTTCCAACCTGCCCTGTAAATTTCAGACTTGCCAGCCCCAACTATTACATGAGCTAATTTCTTAAAACAGATGTAAAAAAACAAAACAAAAAAAAAAAACAAAACAGGTGTGTGTGTGTACCCTATTGGTTCAATTCCTCTGGAAAACCCTAACACAAATGTCTATTAACAAGTGAGTAGATAAACACTTTGTGGCGTATCCATACAACAGGATACTACTCGATAGTGAAAAAGAATGAACTACTAATAAACAAAACAACATGGATGAATCTCAGGATAACTATGCTGAATGAAAAAGGCAAGATTCAAAAAAAAGCACTATGCTACAAGTTTATATAAAATTATGAGAAGTGCAAATGAATCTATAGTGACAAAAGAAGATCAATAGTTGCCTAGAGATGAGGAGGGCTAGAGGGGAGGGTCACAAGAAAACCTGGGGATGATGGCTTCCTGCATAACTCAGGTTCCCTATTACAAAATGACTTTCCTCTCCTCTGTTCACTGCGTGGAAACTACCTTAGATTATCAAATCCCGATGCCTGGAATCACCTGCCTCTGATCGTTACTTCCGTGACCCTCCTTCACTTTCAGGCCCACAATTCATCCTTTATCAGTAGTTTTCCCCTCCTGTCCTTATCTCCCTCTTTTTACCCCATAGTTAACTTCTGAGGCCTGTTATTTCCCTTCAGATTATTTCTTCCAGTTTCAGTTTCTTACTGGTTCTCTCAAACTTAGTACCTCAATATCCACTTCCTGCTTGCTAATATTTTTAAAATAATTTCCTTTTCCACACCAAGTTTGCAGCTTCAGTCTCCCATTGTGTGACAGTATTAGAGGTCATGTGTTTCCTCCTGAAACAGGATCCTCTCTCCCCTTCAACTAGAAGTCAGTAAATACTGGAACCTGGTTGAGTAAGGCTCTCATAGCTGGCCACTTCCCTTCCCCTGACTTCCCCTCTGCAACAAATAAATGGTTGGTCTAGATTTAGAAGCTACAGCTGAACATCTAAAGTGTGTAAACACTGAGGACAGGCATCATTCTCATTCAAACTGTAGTTGCATCCCCGAAGTCTGAGAGAGTAGAAAGAAGATAATAAAACTGTGAGACTGGGCTCTGACGGTTTCCAACACTGGGCTGTCTTTTCAAGGCAGCATAAATCTGGAGAGGCCAATGGCTCATGGGCCCCGCTGGAGCCAAAAGGAGATCTACCTATGGAGGGGAAAACTGGGGCTTGGCCATTCTGAACCCTACCTGTTATCACTGCTTCTAACTCCACAGCCTTAGAGAAAACACCAGGCAAGGCTTCTTGTTTCACGTATAAAATGAAAACAATGAAATATGTGTGCCCCTAAATTTATACATTGGCAATGGTGCCCAAACCTGGAGCTTCCAATGAAGCCGAGTATGTGAGAGCTTTGCCATGCGGTCTTTCCCCAGTTGTTCCCTGCACCTGGCCTGCCCCTGTCTGGAGCAGCAGCAAATGTGAGGATCGAGCTTCAGTAAATGGAAGGCCCAGCTCACCCGCAGCCCCAGGAGGAGGACTCCGTCGGGCTGGCTCTGAGGTCAGGGGCCTCAGAGCGACCGTGGTTATCGCTGGGGCCGCCTGATGAGGGTGGAAAGGCTACTTCGCCGCTTTTTCTGGAGAGCTTCCATTTTATTTCCCATCCTATGAGTTGATTAAAAACTACTTGAGAATAAGCTCCTTTGGCTTTGCCTGTCTTTCCTCTTCCCGTGCTTTCTCCAGGAGCACACGTGTGCTGGGGAAGTGAATCAGGGCCCCGTCTCCTACCCTCCCAGCTGCAGCTGGGCTTCTTCACCATGTGGCTGCCTCTCAATCCAGCAGAAGCTTCTCTCTGTGGGGAAGCAGCCAAGGACCAGAACTGGTCATGCTGAGCACCAACCCTGGGCACTAGGCCCACCACAGTGGGCACGTCTTCCCCAGTGTCCTGTTTAATCCTCTTTGAAGACTTCTGCTAAAGCAGCGAGTTCTGGTTCTAAATGTCAACTAAACAATTGTCTCCCTCCCCCCTCTCTCTGCCTCACTCCACCATTATTAAACATTCCCTGTCCACCACCAACCACCATTGGCCCAGTCTCCTCCTCCCACCCAAGTACTAACCAGGCCCGACCCTCTTTAGCTTCCGAGATCAGATGAGATCGGACATGTTCAGGTGGTATGGCCATACACCCAGCTGCCTGACCTGGCCACAGTTCACACTGTCCCCTGCACCCACCAGCAAACAGAGCGTCTCTGCAGAGATGGCAGAGGGTGTGTCAGCCTTGGGGCATCCGTGGACCTGCCCCCGTGCTCTCTGCACACTCGGGTGGGCAGTGCCTACATGTAGGTCTCTGTGAACCAGGGGCTCAGTACACGGCACTTCAGAAAACTAGGTGCTGCTTCAGTTGGCAATAAGCATCCTCCTTGGTGAATCAAACCACAAAATGTGTCTTAAGTATAACATTTTCGTAAATTCACAAACTGGCTAACAGATCTGCCATCGAGTATGCGTGCAGGACTTTAATCCTAAACCATGTGCCTTCATCACTCTACCCTGTTTCCTGGTACAAGCACACTGGGGAAAATAAATAAATACATGTCCTTGGTAAGTCTTGCTCACCAGGGCTCAGTCCCTTTCCCCATTTTGCTTTTTAAGTAAGCATGTACCTACAATAATATGAATTGAGCAAATGTGACTCCAGTGGAGAAGAAGCCCTCTATTTAACCAGGCAATTGGGATATTGAATAATCCTAGTGGAAAAGCACTTTAAAACTTAGAATTAATTACTTAATTGGCAGCTCATATTTTTGCAGATTTTTTTTTTACCTGATAATCATACCTGCCATAGGCAGCTTATTTTAGAAACACACATTAATTAAAAGGTTGGGGCTCAAGGTGAGGAGGGGGGGTATAGCTCAGTTTTGCTTAGCATGCAAAAGGTCCAAGGTTCAATCCCCAGTGCCTCCACTAAAATAAATAAAACAAGAAGTAAAATTAAGATTGCATTCAAGAAATCACAGCCATGGTTTATAAGCAGATACATTACGTCTGGAACACTCCTAATTAACATTTATAGCTCAACTCCCCCAGGTTAGCTAACTTCTATGCTCACTTGCACTGGGCTGTGGGTTGTAATCATAGGTGATGCAGAATCCCTGGGCTTGGAAGGCCCACGGCGTCCCCACTGGGAGAACTAATTCCTGGGATGTTCCAAAGCTCTGCCCGTCCCCAGGGAAGGAGACGCTGATGACCCTAAACACACTGTGCCCTGCAGAGGCCACGGGCCACCAGCAAGTGAGTATGAACCCCCCCAAACCCTCCCTCCCCACGCCCCTCCCCGTCCCCCAGCCCCCACCCCCAGCACACACGCTGCCTGGGGCTCTTACTTTGCTGACAAGCAGAGAGGACAGAGAGAGCAGCCAGCAAGATCGAATTCCCGGCCATTTTTCACGTGGAACGTTCTGGTTCACGGAACTATCTGCAGAAATCCAGGGGACGGTAACAGACTTGGCAAGGCTGACCTTCCTTGCAAGGCTAACAAAGCTGAGAAAGAAAAAAAAAAAAAATGGAGACGCAAGCGGCTGAGTGACCTTTGCCCTGGAACCAGAACCAGGAAGGGAGGCGGGTCGAGCTGTCAGTGACAGAGCTGCACCTGGCCGGGGCTGGCTTCGTGATCTGGCTTCAAGTCTCCCTTATCTGAGCTCCGACCTGCGGAAATCAGCCCTCCAGCAGCAGCACCTGCAGTTAAACCATCTCCTCAGCCAATTCAAAACCAATTTCCTCTCCTTCACTTCTAATCCCTGGATCTCTTTGGTCCCCTCCCTGGCTCCAAGGCCAGGCTGAGACCTTTCTCACTTCCCGTGGAAAAAAGAGAAAAGAAGGAAGAGTGTATTTAATCCTACTGAGATTTACATGCTAACTGAAACTGATTCTAACTTTATTCCCTAGTAGATGGCAGACCCAGGATTTGAACCCAAGTACCACGGATTCCACCTGAGCCCTCAGCCCTGTTCCATGCTGCCTCCACTGTTGTCTTGGCTCTCCCATGATCGTGGTGACCATAAATTTTTTTCATTGAGATGTGACTCACATATAGTATTAGTTTTATATGTACAACATGATTTGATATATGTACATATTGCAAAATAATCATAAGTTTAACATCCATCACCTCATATAATTTCAATTTTTTTCTTGTGCTGAGAACTTTTAAGATCTACTTTCTTAGCAACTTTCAAATAAACAATACATTATTGTTAGTCATCATTCTGTACGTAACATCCCTAGGATTTATTTATCTTATAACTGGAAGCTTGTACCAAAAATTAAAAAACAAACTAGCATATGTTTTCTGAGAAGGAAGAGGGCCCTGGAGGAAAGAAGTAGGCCAATATTTTTTTATTGACCTCCAGTAGCAAACACAGAACACGTGATCTCCTCGCAGGTCCAGCTCCCCTCCTTTGCCAGAGCAATGCCCCACACCACCCAGGTGGAGCTGTCCTTCCACAGCTGGGAGCTGCTTCTGCAGAACCTATTCATCAGGCCCCTCCCCTCTGTCAACTTCATTGTTTTGCCCTTTAAAGATTCAGCTTCCCGCAAAACAAAATTGGGGTCCCCCAGCTCACTTAGAGGGAGCCCCAGCGCCCCTGGGAAAACCAGCGTGTCTCAGCCTCACACAAGACCCGACTGGGGCTCCCAGCCCAGACCCTTAAGGATGACACAGCCTTGGACAGGAGTTGAACCTAAGTTTGATAGGATGGGCTAATGAAGGCTGAAGGGAACTTTAAATGAAATAGGGCTGTTATGAGGATTGAACTAGTTCACATTTATAAAGCACTTCAAACAGCACCCAGCATCTAAAAATGTGTTCTGTGTGTTTGTTAAACAAACCCATAAAGTATCTAGAAAACTACTGCTAGCATATTATGTAATAATGTTAAAAATATTTTTTAAAAGGTGAAAGTCATGCCTCTTGTACAAATATAAAATGAAACCATATTAAAGATTTGATTGAATTCTTTAACGATAACTAGTATGACATCTTAACCAGTTCAAAGCAGAATTCAAGGAACCACGCATATATGGTGTTAAAAACAAAATCCAACTGAGTTCATTTTAAACATCTTAATGGATCTATTCAGTGATTCACAATTTGGGTAGCATCCAATCCAGCAGACAGAAAGGACCTCTGAGGAGCTGTACAAAACGAAAGACTTTACAGGCAGAAGGGAGCAGAAACGAGGAAGTTACACTTGGCAAAAAGTGAACGGGTTATTGCAAGGTTATTTTCCTTTAGAGAATGGCAGGGGTCTATCAGGCAGGATACTTAACTGGTGCTGAGCAAGCAATTCCTGGTTTAAGATCCCGTCTCTGGGTGAGCAGAAACTGTAAGCTAAGTCAGGTTTGCTGACATGGGGCTTAGCCTTAGCAACTCCATTTAGGGCCTGTTGTATTGTTTTTAACAATAGGGAATCAGAGATTACTTTACAAATAGTTATAAACCAAGTCTGCTCCCAGTGCCCTGCTGGTCTCTTCACATTGTCTCTGCTTTTATTTGTTCTTGAAACCATTGGAGACTAAGACTCTGTAAGAAGACAGATGCTAGAAGCCCAGGACAGCCCCGAAATTTCTCATGTATTTGATTGAAAGGTTTTGACCTTCAGTACATGGCAGGATTCTAAACTGCAAGCCACTCGCCCTGAACCCACATCACCATCTACTAAAATAACTTCCCCAAATGACAGGCTTCCAGGAAGAGGTCTGGGTTGGGCCTGTGGACAGGCGAAGGCTCTCTGAGTAAGACAATGGCTCCAAGAAAGAGAAATAGCAGAAGGAAGAGGTGAGTCAGGGAATAGGGGTCCTGGCTGATGGCCACAACCTATGGGTGTTATCAGCTGCTGTTCTGAGAAGCTCAGGTACATCCATACTAGGGAACTAGTTAAAAACAACAACTCCAGAATGACCTTCTTTGGCTCCTGTTGATTTCCCTTCCTCCCGCTTTCTGGAAAATCCTGACATTCCCTACTGACTTCTCCCAGCTGACCCCAGTTGATCCCCATCCCTGGTCCTAAGAGATGGTTGATACAACAAAAAGTACCTCAAGTGCTTTGAAACCCCGTGCATTCATGTGTAATCTGCTTCCATAGGTCTTAAAAGTCAGTGGACAGAGAAAGACAAATATCATATGATATCCCTTATATGTGGAATCTAAAAAGCAATGGTACAAATGAACTTATTTACAAAATAGAGGGAGACTCACAGACATAGAAAACAAACTTAAATAAACAAGGTCCTACTGTATAGCACAGGAAACTATATTCAATACCTTATAGCCTATAATGAAAAAAATATGAAAAGCAATATATATATATATATAAACTGAATCACTATGCTGTCCAACAGAAATTAACAACATTGTAAATCGACTATGCAGAAAGAAGAAAGAAAGAAAGAAAGAAAGAAAGAAAGAAAGAAAGAAAGAAAGAAAGAAAGAAAGAAAGAGAAAGGCAGACAGACTTATGGTTACCAAAGGGGAAAGGGTTGGGGAGGGATAAATTAGGAATTTGGGATTAGCAGATACAAACTATTGTGTATGGAATGGATAAACAATAAGGTCCTATTGTTCAGCACAGGGAAATGCATTCAATATCTTGTAATAACCTATGATGAAAAAGAATATAAAAGAATATATGTATGTATAACTGAATCACAAGGCTGTACACCAAAAACTAATACAACATTGTAAATCAACTAAACTTCAATTAAATAAGAAAGAAAGTCGGTGTAGTTTCTGCCTCTAGGAAAGTATGAAACAGCCGAACTTTGGATCTTGAAATATTTATCACCTTCTGTGATGATAAAGCTTCCAGATGATCCCACGGTTGAAACACTGCCATAGCATTTAACAAACCAACAGGAACCAGAGCTTCTCTCTCCACCTCCCTTGGATGGGTGAAGGTGAAAAACATTTTCCCTGAAGGTAATATAATATGTACAGATCCCTCTAGTGTGGGTCCTATTCCTTACATTTTGGTAAGAAAAGAAAAACAAGAGAAGAAACAACACATTGAGAGTTGCAGTGTTTTTAAAGTTGTAAAGGTTTTAAAGTGTTTTTTAAAATATTTGTATTACCTACATAAACTCAAAGAAATCTACAAGGGTTTCTGGGAGTTTCGCTTATTAATCACTGTTACAAAAATTGTACTCTGGACAAGGCAAAACAGAGAGGCCACAGTGTGGTAATAGAAAAACAATCCCGAACCACGTGAAAGAGCTGTTGTCATGAAATGTAAACTCTAAATGTAACTATTTCTGAATAATTTTGCTAATAGATGAAAAGATATGATCTATTTAACTACAGAAATGTTCTCTCTCAGACCAACTGCATCCTCTCCCCACCACCCCCACCCCAGTTATCCCCTGGCCTCACCCTCATGTTCTATCCCTGTCTCTCCAAAAACTACAGCTCACTGTCCTGGTTTCCGCTGGCACTTCAGCAGCTATCTCTGCTGCCAACAGGCCTGTCACAGAGAGAGACAGGAAACCCACCGCATTCCCAAGGATGCCCAGAAACGGAGCGATCGCAATTATCAAGGACCATAATACACCTGACTGAAAACTAGACTGTATAAGGCTCTCCGTGTGCTTAGTGTTTATCGCGTTCTCTTGCTGTAAGTCCTGACCAACTGAAAATACCAGAACAACTCAGCAAGTGTTTAAACAAAACTCAGATAAACCAAACTTGAAATTGTACCTCAACCTACATGTTGCGAATCGAATATACTACAACCTACGTGTAGGGGATCGCAGAGGTCCTGCAGAATATTCTCTCCCCTTCAGAAGCTGGAGCACCTTGCTCTGTGACCCTGGGTGTGGAAAACCAAGCCAAAGAGGGCCAAGGCGTCTTCCCCCATCGGGGAGACCTTTGCCCTGGGACGGGCAGGGCCCAGAGCAGGGGACTACAGACCGGTTGCAGCAAGCCTCAGACAGAAGCTGCCTGTCATCCAACACCAGGAACGTCCCAAGCAGGCTCAAAGTCAGGGACTTAAAAGAGCAGAAAGGAAAGGAAAGATCAGTCCCCAGGGAAGTGTAGTGAGGGGAGCACAGGCTTCGAGCTGGTGATCAAGGCTTCATCCCTGTACTTGTGGGCAAGTTGCTAAACGTCCTTGGATGTGCTTTCTCAAAGGGAAATAATCATACAGGGTCCCTCTGATGACTTAACGAAATAATGTGAGGGAGGCAAACAGCACAGAGCCTGGCACGTGGCAGGAGGTCCACGAGGTCCCTCTGCTGCGCCACCCACCTCAGGCCTGGTGGACGCAGAGGAGACAAGATCTATTTGTGGAGAAGGACAAGGAAGTGGATGGTCGCACAACATCCTAATAGTTGCCCAGACTGCGAGGATTTCCCAGAAGAATGGAAACAGAGCACTTGAATGGCTTCCAAATGGCCTTGGACAGTAATAGAAGATCTGAACTTGAGTTGTCTTAAGTTTCCATAAGATTTGGGAGAGGCTAAAGTAAAGCAGAATCTGGCGAGGGGAATCAGAAATCCTCACTGACAACCCCCAGCACACACAGCCCTCCTCACACACACACACACACACACACACCCACTCCCAAACACTCCCACACACTAACACACACATATACTCACACACTCACATACACTCATATCCCAAAAGGGGATTTGTAAGCTGAATGGACCTTGAAACACATATTCTCACAGAAGTAATATTATAAATGGTATTATAAATGGTGGCCATGTTCTCAGGTGGCTGCATGTTCAATGAAATTTTAACTAATAAGTGATGTTTATGCCACATATTGGCACTTGAACCACCACAAAAGGAATTAACACTACTCTTTTGCCTGTCTCGTTTAACTATTACTCATTTTTTTAACTGAATAGCATTTGGAAGGAAGTGCTTTAAAACTGGGTTGTTGGAGTAAACTTCCTGCCCTGCCCCATGGAAGGAAGCCAGGCTCCCCATGGGCCACGCTCAGAGCTGGATTCATAAACTTGCTGAGGGGTGTAGCTCAGTGGAAGAACGTGTGCTTAGTTAGCATGCACGAGGTCCTGGGTTCAATCCCCAGTACCTCCATTAAAATAAATAAATAAGAAACCTAATTACCTCCCTCCCCACAAAAAAAAATTTAAAAATTAACTTACTAGGACCAGAGCAGCAAGAGGCAGGAGCTCCCTGAACTCTGAGGGCCGAGGCACCGTGGATAGGCCTCCGTCTGACGGGGGCTCTGATGTCTACCCCCACCACCAGCTTCCAGTTCCACACAACAGAAGGGGAGGAGCGAGCCAGGCCCTGGACAGAACTGTCTCAACTTACCTGCCTCACCAGCAATGAAGCACATGTTTTATTCCCATTTTTCAGATGGAGAAACTGAGACTCAGAGGTTAGTGACTTGCCCAAGATCAGTACAACCCAGTCCTAATGTTCCCAAAGCCCTTGCTCTCAACTTCTGCTGCACATTGGAATCACCTGGGGGTCATTAAAAATACTGGTGCTTAGCTCTCCCCCAACACAGCAACTCTGATTTACCTGGTCTCGGGTTCATCCTGGGCACCTGCATTTTTTAAAAGCTCCCCAGATGATTTTAGCGCTCAGCCAAGGTGGAAAACCCCTGCCTTAACAAGTGATTCTCAGTATGGTCCTCACCACGCACTGCCGTCACCTGAGGTGATGTAAACACGCAGATTTCCAGGCCTCATCCAGGATCCACTATTGAACATCAGTTTCATGTTGGTTAAGCAGCCACAGCCTCACACAGCTCACACAACACTGCTATGGGGTTGTGAGTTATTCTCATTTTACAGATAAGGACACTGAGACCCAGAGAACTTTGGGAACTGGTCTAATTACTCCATCTCACTGCCTCCCAAAGAGAAGAAAGATCACACACCCTCTCGGGGTGAGGGTGGGGGAAGGAAGGAACAAACTGGTGGAAGCCCAGGTGAGTGCCACTGGGGTCCAGGAAGGAGAAGGAACGGGTTCTGCAGCAGGAGGGAAAAGGTGAGGGTAGGAGGAATGGGGTGGAGGAGAAGGGGTGCCCCGAAATCCCAGCAGAGAGAAGTCTGGCTGGAGCCTGTGACAGCTAATTCCACACCAGGTCCAGTGGTACTCGCCCGCTAACTGGCTTTGATGTCCATCCAGACGTGGCCGTTCTCACATTAGAATCACCAAGGGCCTTTTTGAAATAAATACCAATGTAACTGAGAAATCTCTTGGATTTTGTGATACCAGCAGGGCCAACTACTGCCACTGAGAACTTGCTGAGATGTCTGTGCACCCAAAGAGGAGAGCTTACCTCGTATGAACTAAAACGTGGCATTTTCTCGGGCTTGTCCTTAAGGTTTAACGTTAGTTTGTCTCTCGTGCGTTGCCCAGTGCCTTCATTAGGCATCCTCTGTAGGCAGGAAAGAAATCTAGCACAAAGAGGGTGCAGCGTGATTGGGCCACTTAAGGAAAAAGGAGGCACCATGGCTTTCCCTCCTGTCTCTCTGGGCTTGTTAGGGCAAAAGGAAAGGGCAGCTCTTCCCACTCTTGATAAGACACAAAATGTCACAGAATACAAACAGTTAAAAGCAGCTCGTGCTTTGACATGTGGCGCTACACCCACAACGGGGGCTGACGCTAAACCACTGTAATTACACCGCAGCCCCACCTGGCATAACCTGACTCACAAGACACCCATCTATCAGATCGCACGCAGGCCCAGCCAGGCCCTGCAGAAGAAGAAACGTGACAAAACAAAACAGGAAAACCCTAGTGTAATGTCAGCACGGGCTTCAGGGCCTGGGACTGTTTTGTTCTGCTACCTTAGCAAGAGGATAAGGAATTTCACAGATTGCGTGCCTGGTTTTCTCTTTTCTTTTCCTTTTTTTTCGTTTATCCCTCCTGCTTTCACTTACATTATGTTTGGTTCTCACCTTTATTTTTGGGGCTTTATCATAATTTCAGTCTCTGGCAGGTTTCTGGGACCAGAATTCCAGACAAAACAGCTTCATCTGCCCTTCTGCGCCCCTCACCTCCATTTCTCATCCTCTCCTCAGAGGACCTACAGGCTTATCATCTCTTTTCAACCCTGATTGGCAATCAGGAGATTCTGAACAACTGCACATTCGGAGCTGGGCGCTGTTGCTCAAACTTTGTCCTTTCCGTCAACAGAAGTTGTATTTTGTCAAACCACCAGGGGGAGTAAATCCCAGGGTTACCAGAACTTCCAACCTTGGAAGGAAGCTGGGAGTTTTCAGGACCAACTGGCCTCAGGGCTTAGTTGTAGCTTCCTCCTCCAGCTTTCCAGACGCCTCTTGGACTGCACATCAGCAAAACTGGAACCAAGTCAGTTAACAGAAACTGTTCGACAGAATCATCTCTAAACAATGCCCTGAAAAATGTCAGGTTTTCAGAAATAACATATTGACCATTTCCAGCAAGAGCCTTGTGGTAAGAGCAAAAACTATAGGTGCTTAAATGTAAAAATTACCAGGATTTAACCCTTCGTCCTGACCCACTCAAAAACAAGGCTCTGCCCTAGAGGCTTACATTTCATTGAGAAAGGGTCCCAAAACAGGACACGACACTTCCAATTTGGCATCCCTGATGGAGGCAACACAAGGTAGTCAGGAGCAAGCAATAAAAAAGACAACAGAAATCCCATTTGGTGGGCAAACAGCCAAGAGAGGAGATCAGTTCCATTTTCCAGTAAGTATTTTGAGGAATCAAGTATCAGACCTCAGATTTTTATTTGATCCTTCAGTGCACCTCTGCTTCTAGAGTAGTTTAGTAAAATTAAAAAGTACTCTGCCAAGTATTTGACATAAATTCTTTGTAAAGGAGCAGGTCAAAGAGCTGGACGGAGTCTGGAAAATTCTCAGGATCAGGCAGTTTGGTTGATAAAACATCAGCAAATGGAAACTTCCCCCATGCCTGCAGTGACAGCCTCACTTCAGTGACGGAGGGAAATCTAAAGCAAAGAAAGGAAGGGATCTGAAGATTCTCAAGAATACACAAAAGTGGTATCTGCCCATTCATTCATTCATTCTTTATCAAATGCACTGAGACCTGCCACACGCGAAGTCCTGTGCAAAGTACTGGGACACTGGGCTGAGCAGGATGACAGCAGCCCTGCTCCGGTGGAGTTTACAGAGGTGTGAGGACAAGCGTTAACAGGGCTTCCCCGAGGCTAAATAGCTCATGATCACTGTGACGGACACTGTGAGTGAGAAGTCACAGCTGCCGTGGGAACATGCCTCAGGGGACTCAGCTGGTCTGGGAGGCCAGAGGCGCCTTCACAAAAGTGACGTTTCAGCTGAGGACTGATAATAAAGCGTGAGGTGGGTGAATGGTGTGCTGGTGTGTGTGTTGGGGGTGGACAGGCAGGAGAAAGGGGGATGTTCTAAGCTGAGAACAGCCGTCAAAAGCCTGAAGTGGGAAAGGCTGGGGCGTGGTCCGAGGATGCTGAGAGCAGCCCAGCGTGGCTGTGACATAAAGACCCGGGAGAGGGTGGCCACTATTCGGGGCCACATCAAGTGTGATCACATGAGACCAGAGGTTAGCAACCAAGACGATTTTGCCTCCCGCCCCCTACCCCTACCAGGGACATTTGGACTTGTCACAACTGGGGAGTGGGCTGCTACTGGCATCTGGTGAGCTGAAGCCAGGGATGCTGCCAAACACCCTGCAGCGCACAGGACAGCCCCACAACAAAGAGTTATCTCGCTCAAGATGTCAGCGGTGCTGAGGTGAAGCCCGGTTTTATAAAAGGGATGAGGAGTCACTAAAGGGTTTTAGACTGAAAAGTCTGGTGGTGAGATTTGTTTCCAAAAGATCACTCTGACTTCCTCATGGGCCGATGGGGGAGAATCACTAGTGTAGATCTAAAAGGCTCTGCTGGGATGGAATATTGT